GGCTACCTACGGTCCAGATGTTGGCCAGGGCTGAATCATCTGAAGACCTGATTGGGGGCTAGAGGATCTGCTTTCAAAGTTGCTCATTCGCCGGGCTGGCAGGTCAGTGCTGGTCATCGGCTTATACAGCATCTATACAGTGAGTGTCTTTATAACCTGGTGGCTTCCCCCAGAGTAACTGTTTGATCATACTCAGAACAATAGCAGTGTCAGAGCATTCAACCTAACAGACCAAACTGAGTTTCTATTTCAACATTTAAATGAAGCAAAGTGTATTTAAGTTTAAGTATTAACCAATACCTATTCCTCTGCATGTGTATTATGAAGGATTTGCTCACATAATTGTGAAGGCCAGGAAGTCCTATCATCTGCAGTATGCAAACTGAAGAACCAGAATAGTGGTGTAATAGTGCTGCAAATCCGAGAACCAGGGGAGTTGATGGCCTAAGCCTGGTTGGAGACTGAAGGCCCAAGAATCAGGAGTACTTAAATCTGATTTCCGGTGGGAGACCAATAACCTAGCTCAAGAAGAGCATCTCTGCCTTTTTGTTTCTTTCTGGATAGTGCTTGCCTTATCGGTGAGGGGATCTGTTTTACTCAGTCTAGAGACAGATGCTAATCTTCCAGAAACACCCTCAGAGACACACCACTAAACGAAGACACTTTACTAGCAGTCAGAGGATCCTGCAGGCCAGTCAAGTTTACACAGAAAAGTAAGCATTATACTAATGTCTCATTTGGAGCATTTTAAAGTAATTTTGGTTTCTGAGGAACTGCAATTACTGGAGTTGTTCCCTATTTATTTATGTTACTAAGACATTAGGTGGAGCCAGAGGCAGCAAGAAGTTTCAGGGCAATACATTGATGAGAACAAGGATATACTTTGGAACTATCTTACCTTGGTCCTATATCGCCTATTAATACTTAGTAACAATTCCAAGCACATGGAGTCCTCCCCTTTCTGGATCTCAAACATTGTGCTTCTGCTGATTTCCTTTTCATTTGAAGCAGGGACCTCAGTAGGGCTTCCTGGGCTGGGGATGCTTTCTCCACTAACGGCTTAGCTCCGACATATGGATTCTGCTGTAGCAGGGCTCACAGTGCTGCTTTCTTTTCATTTACCTTCCCCTTTGCCACTGTTTTGGCCTCAGGTCGTCAGTTTTCTTCTGGGCCACTGCTGTGGTTCTTAAACAGTTTCCAGGCCCCTTAGTTCAACCTTCTCTAAACTGCTTCCAGATTAATTTTGCCTGCTTAAAATTCTCTGATGTTTTCTCAATGTTTATTAAGTAAAATTCCAGTGCTGTAGCTGGCCCTTAGAGGTGCTTCACCAGAAGGCACCAAGTTACCCTTTACAATTAACGTCATCATCATCATCATCCCTTTGACAGCCCTTTAAAGGTTCCCTAAACTCTTATCTGACTTCATTCTTTGCTCGTGCTGTTCCCTCTAACAATAAAGCTGCAGGCTGAAATACCAGCCATCTTTTAAGGCCTATCTCAAACATCACCTCCTTAGTAAACTTTCCTCTTGGCCACTCTTCTGTACCAGACATGTGAGTCCTCTCCTAAGGCCACTCACTGAACTTTGTATCCCTTGTAATACTTAATCGTAATCGGCGTCTCTTAATATAGCATGTGTACTTATCTTATCATTCTTAGCAGTTATAATGTACTTTAAAGGTCAGATTTAATTAATCATTTATGTTTTTGATCTAAGAGCTGTTTTTTTTTTCTAGTTGGATTTGAATAGTTGTATAAACCACTGGGATAAAGTATTCAAGGTCGGAAATGCCTTCCTTTTACCAGGCACAATGTAAAGCTATGCAGAATTTAAAAACTTTACATATATATGTGGATGTTTATTATTTTGCTAAGATGGCTTTATTCTAGTATTGAAGGATTCAAAATGTGGGCATTGCTTATGTTTTTCTTGGACCGGCACTAAATAAAGAGTATTAGTTGTGGCTCAGATAATCTGAGTACAGACATGTGCTTTACGATCCCTTTGGATCTGGCACCCTTCCTGTGAGAACGCCGGCAAACGCTCACTCCGTTTTCCGTCGGAGGAGAACTGCTCCCAGGCACCGCAGGGGAGCTCGCCTCGGAGCCCTCCGCCCGGCATCCGCCGACTTTCCGGGCGCTCCGAGGGCGCGGCTGAATCTGCGTCTCCCCGACGGAGTCTGGGTGGGGAGCAGGCAGAGCTCGCCCGGGAGCTTCCGGGTGAAGGACAGGAAAACAACCGGCCGGCCTGGGCGGAGCCGGGCGGGCGGAGCGAGGGCGG